ATCTAGCAGCAGCTGGAATCTTAAATTTTCATCTGTTACTCAAGACACAAAGAAAAGAGAAAACACTCTGAAACCAATCTTCTGAAAAAATGGAAAAAAAGCACAATAAAATTGCAACAAAGAAAATACCCTAAGCATCTGTTCTTCCTCAATTGTCCATGGAACCCTCTTTCTCCTCAACTGTGGAACTGCCATGTGCTGCAGAAAAAGAACATTTTGACACTTAAGATTTCATTTCGAATTAAATCAATTGGATAAATATTTTGCCAAAAAAAAAAAAAACTCTGCATGTTCCAATGAGGAAAAAAATCATTGGAGAAGCATATTAAGGATGCCAAGTGGACAAAAGTAGCCTAATAATACACACAAGGAAACAGCAGAAATGTTGTGATAATCTAATGGAAAGTTATTCATGTATGGAAAACTTACCACTTCCTTTGCTGCCTTCTAAATCTTATGGAATAGTTCAATTTAATAACCTCATCATTTTCAGTATCAAAAGTATCCTCTCCATCAAAATTAAGAACAATGGGTTGTTGGTCAGGATTAGTTCCATGTTGTTGTAAAACTTCTTGCGGAATGTCCGGAATCCCTCTTTATCCTCCTCTGCTTGAAAATGGACAACCATACCCTCCTCCTTCCCTCAAACAAATCGTAGAATGACCACATGAATGGTGGAAATCGTTAGAGTGGGACCATCCTAATGCAGAGGGTGTCCTTCTACCCTTCTATGGAAGTTATCATTCGTTTCCTTTTGAATTAGTAGAAGGACGTATTAGAAGGTTGCAGTTCACTGATATTGATGGAGAGAATACCTGGCTGCTACCATCCGTACAAGAATTATCTATTAGTGGATGCAACAACTTAAGAAGCTTAGACGATATCTCTGCCATTAAAGATGCAATAGAATTGAGGCGCTGTCGTATTAACGCTTGCGAAGGCCTGGAGTGTGTTCTTTCCTCACCCATAAATCCAATGGTCCGAAAGCTTGAGGCTCTGGATCATTATAGGTTGGAAAAGTTGGATGCACTGTTAGAAGCAGAAGTCATTACCAAAGTCCCCACTGCCACCAGCCACTTTTTCATATCTTAGAACACTAATAAGTGTGTGTTCGGCAATGTGATAAAATAAAGAAGAAATTAGCATTGCTTATTGCCAACAGATGGAAAAATTAGTAGCATGGGATGCAAAAGAACCAGAGGAGAAAAAGAAGGGGTCACCCAACTCATTCTTCCAAAATTAAAAAGTTTGTTGTTGATGTACTTGCTGGAATTGAAGAGCATATGTAGCAGAAGGGCAGAAATGGTGTGTGATTCTCTTGAAGCGATTTGGATCAAGAATTGCAAGGGCATAAGGAGGGTCCCTCTTTATCTAACGGACAACCATCTCCTCCTCGTTCCCTCAAACAAGTCGTGGTATGGCCACAAGAATAGTGGGAATCGTTGGAGTGGGACCATCCCAATGCAAAGGACGTCCTTCTACCCTTCGGTGAATTCACTCCTTGATGGCGCCGATTTTCTTTAATCGCTGAAGAAAATAAAGAAGAAATCACCTATTGTCACTCTGCAACAGTTCATCTTCACCATGGTTCCTCTAATCGATGTGGAAAAGGTTCATCTTCGCTTTGCTCTATTTTTATTTCTAGAAATTGTTAATTCATGAACTGCAAAATGAGATAAAAAGGAATATGGACGAAATATGGATTAATTAACCGACTTCTTTTTGTTGAATCAGGAAGTTGAGATATCCGCCTCTATCTCTTCATGGGCATCAAGGAATTTGGATGGTTCTCAAAAGAGGGGCTCCGCAATTCTCAATTTGTAGTGAGTTGTGTGTTGTATCACTTTCTGTAACTGGTAAGAGTGCCTGCCGCCAATCTTTTGTTTTGCGTTTTCAATCATTAATGTTTTGAATCAGTCGAATTGATAATTGCACAACTTCCTCAAGGTTTTGCTATGAAAAATGCCATAGCTTTGAATTGCCCAAATATCAACATGATTTATCTTTTAGCTGAATCGTGGAGTTCCAGTTGCTGTTACAAATTACAATTGTCTATTTAGTTAGCTCTTCTGGGTCCTGGGATTTTTCTGAACTCAATTGTATTGACATTGTGTGTGTTGGATTTGAGTTGTACTCATGCAACCAGTGGAAGTTTGTGTTTCTTGTAGATGTCAGATTAGTCATTCTATTTATAGGAATTTTGGGGGGAAATGCAGTTGCCTAATCAAATTACTTGTATCATTGTTAGTGAAAATAAAGAGAAAAAATGGAGGAAAAACAAAAAACACGACCACATATGTGGCCCAAAATGTAAATTAGTAATGCTTGAGCTGGATGGTGTTTTGTCTGCCTGATCATGACAATCTGTTATAAGTTTTGGTAAAGTGGAGATTGGAAATGATGAATTTCCCTTTTTTTGGGCAATGCAGTTTGGCACCCATGATGTAGCCATATTAAAACTGAACATGGTTGATTCAGGAGCTCTTGGACAAGGTGCAGTTTACTGGCTAAAGGTAATTGTGGCTTTTGAAAGACATTTGGGTTATTATGAAGTAGATTTTGTTGTTCCTAGTTCTGTGCGACTCCCCTGAACTCTTGTGCTGCTGATTTTATGTGCATGTTAAACAGGATTCTTTAATCAATGTTGCTTTTGATAACATCCAAGAAGAAGATTTAAACAGTCCATTACATCTAGAAAAAGAGTCAAATGGGGGGTACGCTGTTAAAATTCTTCAATAGCTTCTCTGCGTCTCATATTGGCTTTAATTGTTATGTGAGGTAGACAATGATTCCCTTGTACTGATGGTGTGTTTTAGTGAGCTTGAATTCTGGTCATTGCATCTCAAATGGCCTTTTGGTGTTCTATTCTGAACTTCATAGTGTGAACCTTAGAGGAATCTAACTGAAGTCAAACGTCGATTTATATTTTCACATAGAAGTCAAACTGAGTTGTGATTCATATTGTCACGTCTTTGCAAGACTCAATATAATGGAACTAGTATAGAAGGGTCAGTACCACACTTTCTTCCCTATGATTGATTCTGTAATCAATTTTATTACTATGTTTTACTTATTTAAGCTTGGAAAGAGATCCAAATTAATTTGCTGTGCAGGTTACATCCTAGGATGAAGGATGCCTTTATAGAACTGAGTAAAGGTTTGCTATCGGTACCTGCTGCTGATCTAGTTCCTTCTTGTTTGGAGAGAGATTGCCAACATTGTCAAAGAAGGATGTGACGTTAGGCCCTTTTAACTTTAACCTTTATCACTATCAGGTTTGTAAGTGCTTACTTTCTTTGTGCATTTTCTTTTCAGATGACTAATGTTTACCTTTTCCTTTTCCCTTTCTTTTTCCTGTGGTTGAATGCATTCCTGGTAGCCTTATACATATCTGCTACTATGGATGTCTCCAATTTAGTAGGTTTTTATTATTCATCTTCAAAATGAAGGCACAATCGATTTCTGTTTTTTCCCAAGTCCTAACTTAATTTAATTTCACTTTACTAAGAAGGATGCCATTTCAAAAGCTTTGTCAACAAAGGATGTATTTTTGCTGCGTGGACCTCCTGGACCTGGGAAAAGTGCAGCCGTAGTGGGTGGAAATTATTATCTTTCAAGAAATCAAGCATGGCTTAAAGATTCTTGCTTGTGCTGCTTCTGCTATTGGTGTTTTTTTTTTTTTTTTGGTACGGCTTCTGATATTGTTGTTGACAACATTGTTATACCTGCAACTAACCTTAGTGCTAACCTATTAAAGGGAGAGTTTTTTGTAATTAATTGTGCTTTATATTATTTATAAAGGGTCCCATAGTTCTGGTTTAGAGACAACCTGAATGCTAAAGGAAAATATTCTTTGAGCATATAAGAACCACCAAAAATTGAACCATATATTATCTGGTTCTGTTGGAGCTAATAGGTTTCAGCAGCTTTCTATTTTTCAAAAATTTGAGCTAAACAGTGTTTGTTTGGTTGAGTTTCACTAGTAAGTTCTTTTTTCTGAGTCCATGAAGACCGGAATGAGTTTTCATCAAGTACTGGCCTGGGTAGTGCCATAGCTAATAGGAATTAAAACCATGTGGCTCAATGCATCTTTTGCTGGAATGTGAAATTTGTTTACTTTTTTTTTTTTTTGAAAAGCAAAAGAATTTATTAAATGTGAAATTTGTTTACTTATCTTTCAACTACAGAAGAACTCTTCGGCATTTTGACTATGGATGACTTTGATTTTCTTTCCTTTCTTGTGGAACTGTAGATATTCAGATAAATGGTACTAGAAAGACATTTATGAGCTAAACTGTCATGTCATGCACTAGTTATTTTCTTCTTGGCTTACTAGTTTGGTTTCCTCTTGTGCGTAAGAGTACATTATAATTATTTCTTTATTTTTTTAAATTTTTTATTATTAGAGTGAAGGAGGTGAGGTTGGAGTATCCTGCACATATACTATCCTCAAGTTTTGGTCAGTGCACTTGATGCACATGTAAACTGTATTATTTGGAAAGGAGAATTTGAACAATAGGTTTTTTACCTTAATGATAGTGTTCAGGCATGGTTGTTCATCCCCATAATGTGAGCTTCATTTTGTTATCAAATTTAGCCTTCTTAAACTCTCATAGTCTATACAACATAGTAACATCTTGGTCTATTTATTTCCAGCTACAAACTGCTTTGTCTAGAATTCCATTTTCTTGGGTAAAGCACCACATTTAAATTCATTCAGGACATCTTGAAGAAGCTTTCAAGTCAATAAATTACCACCTTTTAACTTCCAACTGCAGTATCACCAATACAGAAATCCTTGGAAATTGAATTCTGTTCTGTACTTAATTCATTTTTTCAGCAGTGGAACTGCAAATCATATAACCTCATTTTCCATGTATTTAATGATGCAGCTGCTGTGTTAACAACTTAGGTGCATCTTCTTGCAAACTGGAGAGTACTTCATTTGACTTGGTTATTATTCATGAAGCTGCTCTGTCACTTCAAATAGCATCCTGGATGGCTCTACTAAAGGTAATGATGCGCTCAAAATACATATAAAGCACTTTCTTGAGCATAATCATAGAGGCACACAGTCACAAAATTAAGTTCAAGGTCTGGTTGTAATATATTTCACTGAGCACTGTCTCTTGCATGATTTACATCCTTAAATTCAGTTTTGAGATGAGAGTTGAACTTTGAAACCGAATGAACCCCAATATAAAAGAATTGACTGTTACATAGTTTAGTTCCACATGTGATGGTTATTGCTTTTGTGGGTTTCAAGGTGTATCCTTGCGGCAGACCATCTTTAGCTGCTTACAGTCATCTAGAGTGTTGAAGCTGAGAGGAAAGAGTTAGAAAGAACTTTCTCTGAATGCTAGGGAGAACTTTGGTCTCCAGAGAAATTTACAAAGGTAACGTGCTGGAATATTTCAGTATGATGGATTATAGTCTAAGATTTATTGTTAAATAAACAATAGTAATTTTTCCTGATGATCACATATCAAAGGCCATGCAAGTGTTGCTGCACACACTTTCTTCTCTTGAGAATGTGAAGACAATGACACAATGTCTTCTACGGAGCCAATCCTTCTTCTTTGATTCATCTAGGTATGTAACTAGTTTCTGAAAATTTCTGAATATTATGTGTTGCCTCTTTCATGACTAAATAAAAATAAATCTGAATCCCACCATTTTACTTGTATCATCCTTTGGAGGCTACATTCGGTACGAGTGAACTGTGTAAACGATATTTGTTTTATAAAGTCAACGTGAAACTGTTTTATTTAAATATAGGTAAGAGTTTTTGGTTTGTAAATTTAATGCTCAATTGACACTCTACTCCACAAGAAACATATCTCAAATGTCAAAAGGGATACAAAAAATGCTATTGTTAAATGCCACGTGGCATTGTAATTATGCAACATTATGTGTCGTTTTATAATTAACTCTTTTCATTCAAAATCCACTCGTAATATTATATGTATCCACTCGTTTGATGCTACATCATATTTCACTTAATACTACATAGGATTGTAAGTTAATTTGTAATGAAAGCGAAATTTCCTAGAACTTAGTGGTGTATCCTACGTGACATTGTAACTATAGCATTACCAAAAGGGATAATATTTTAAGTTGATTGGCTTTCTTATGGTTTAGGGAGGCTGGCCACTAAGTTCTAGGAAATTTTGCTTTCATTGTAAGTTTGTAAAAGCTGATGTATCATGGAAGAAAAGAAGGATGAAGAAGATGGGACACTGAATGAAGGTGAAGGCGTGAAGCAGAGATTGCTATTTCACATGCAAAGAGACTTGCTTACTCAGGGCGGAGTCCAGGCTTCCAATATTGGAATTATTACCCCATATGTAATGCAGGTACTATGGAGTATACCTGGTCGATAGAGTGAGACATAAATACTAACTAGATAATTAGATGTCCTCCCGCTTCATCCATTCATTCCGTGAAATGACCAATACATTGATGTTTGTTCTTTTAAATTGCAATTGTATTTCAGGTTCTATTACTAAAAATGTTGAGAAGCAATAAGAACTGGCTAATGGATACATCAACTGTCAATGTAGCTTCTTCTTGGTCCACAACCCCACTTCATACAACTAAATGCAAGACAGATGCTTCTTACTGTTCTAGAAGTGGCAGATTGGTCTACCAGTGGTTATGAGGGATGCTGGAGAACAGGTTATAGATTGGCATAGCTATTCAACAATGTACCTTATCTTCCCTCGCAGAAGAGGCATATGCTCTTCGTCTTGCAGCGGGAAGGGCAACGGCAAGTGGTTTTCTTCAAGAGTCATTTTTGAAGCAGGAAAAATTTAGCTTGGCAAATTGCTTCCGTTGTGGAACCCATATGGAGTACCCTGCTACCAGCCTAGCCTTTGAATGGTTTGATTTTGTGTTTGTGCCTGGAATAAGCTAACGAAGCTACTTAATTGGTTTGCTATTGGGCGCCTGTCTGCCCGTGGAATTTTGTAAACTATTCTATATAGATGTTGCTAAGAGCTAAAGAAAGTAAGGCCTTTAGAAGTGGTCCAATTCACCATTGGGCTTGCACTGGAAAGTTGAAAAAGTCTGTACGCTTGTTGTCTACTTTTGGAGGTCACCCGGGTCAGTAAGGGTGAGCATTTTCAGAGTGACTCCACAGGAGTTATGACTCCACGGAAGCTGCTCCACAGGATCAGTGCCAGAGCTAGAATTATTTGTCAGAGTGACAAATAGAAGCAAAAGAAAAAAAAAATTTTAACAATTA